CAGCCTTCGTTCCGTCTGGGTCAACCTGCTCCTCTCTCACCCAACCATCTTCCTCCTTCTCCTCGTTCAGTCTCCTTCTACAAACAACAAAGTAAGATCAACCAAATCCTACAAATCAAATCAACAACCTGCCATGAGGATGATTATACTCACCATTTCTCCATCTTCCCTTTCAGCTGCTCAAGTTTTTATTCTGCACCTGTAAATAAATTATCACGTACCTTTTGACTTGTTCCCGTGTCCTTACTTCTCTTGGTCTGCCAATTGGGGGTCAACGTTAAACCGATCTTGATAGGCACAGCCCAAAGAGGAGACGTGGGTCCCCTTTCCATGGGCTCACCACCTGTGGGAGGGGCCAAAGGGGTCGGGTTCAATGTGGGATGGGTGGTGGCTGAGGGCAGGGACCCTGGCAGTCTGATCCTCAGCTACAGAAGCTGGCTATTGGGACGTGGAATGTCACCTCTCTGGTGGGGAAAGGGCCTGAGCTGGTGTGTGAGGTTGAGAGGTTCTGGCTAGAAATAGTCCGTCTCACCTCAATGCATGGCTCTGGCTCTGGAACCAATATCCTTGAGAGGGGTTGGACACGCTTCCACTCTGGAGTTGCCCCTGGTGAGAGGCGCCAAGCAGGAGTGGGCGTACTTGTTGCCACCCAGCTTGGTGCCTGTATGTTGGGGTTCACCCCGGTGAATGAGAGGATAGCCTCCCTCTGCCTACGTGTGGGGGGATGGGTTCTGACTGTTGTTTGTGCTTATGCGCCAAAAAACAGCTCAGATTACCCAACCTTTTCTGAGTCCTTGGAGGGGGTACTGGAGGGTGTGCCTCATGGGGACTCTCTTGTTCTGCTGGGGGACTTCAGTGCTCACGTGGGCAATGATGGTGACACCTGGAGGGGTGTGGTTTAGAGGAACGCCCCCCCAATCTGAACCCGAGTGATGCTCTGTTATTGCTCTTGGCACTATGACACCCTAGGCCACAGTTCACAGTTCAATGACTGACTTTGTTGTTGTCGCATCTGATCTGTGGCTGCATGTCTTGAACACTCAGATGAAGAGGAGGCGGAGCTTTCCACTGACCACTACCGGGTATTGAGTTGACTCCGATGGTGGGGGAGGATGCCGGTCAGACCTGGCAGACCCAAACATATTGTGATGGTCTGCTGGGAATGTCTGGCAGAGTTTCCCGTGAGACGGAGCTTTAACTCCCATCTCTGGGAGAGCTTCAAAAATGTTCTGGGGGAGGCGGGTGACATTGAGTCCGAGTGGACAGTGTTCCGTGCCTCTATTGTCGAGGCGGCTTATCAGAGCTGTGGCCACAAGGTTGTCGTGCCTGATGCAGCAGTAACCCTCGAACCTGGTGGTGGACACTGGCGGTGAGGGATGCTATCAGGCTTAAGAAGAAGTCCTATCGGGCCTTTTTGGCCTGTGGGACCCCGGAAGCAGCTGATGGGTATTGGCAGTCCAAGAGGCACGCAGCTTGGGTGGTCACTGAGGCAAAAACTCGGGCGTGGGAGGAGTTCGGAGAGGCCATGGAGAATGATTCCGTACGGCTTTGAGGCAATTCTGGTCTACCATCAGGCATCTCGGGGGGGGCCTGATGGTAGATAGTGTTGATGGCAATAAGCCATCAACACTATTTATAGTGGAGGTGGTGGGCTACTGACCTCAACTTGGGATGTCGTGGGTAGGTGGGCAGAATACTTGGAAGACCTCCTCAATGCCAATGGCACGTCGTCCACTGAAGAAGCGAAGCCTGGGGTCTTTGGGTCAGGCTCTCCAATCCCTGGTGCTGACGTCACCGAGGTAGTTAAAAAGTTCCTCAGTGGCAGGGCCACAGGAGTGGATGAGATTTGCCTGGAGTTCCTTAAGGCTCTGGATGTTGTGGGGTTGTGTTGGCTTACACGACTCTGTAATATTGCGTGGACATCGGGGTTGTTCCCCTGGAATGGCAGACTGGGGTGGTTGTCCCCCTATTCAAAAAGGGGGACCCGTAGAGTGTGTTCCAACTACAGGGGGATCACGCTCTTAAGCCTCCCTGGTAAGGTCTATTTGGGGGTTCTGGAGAGGAGGGTCCATCAGATAGTCGAACCTTGGATTCAGGAGGGGCAGTGCGGTTTTCATCCTGGTTGTAGAACACTGGACCAGCTCTACACCCTAAGCAGGGTCCTGGAGGGTGCGTGGGAGTTTGCCCAACCAGTCTACAAGTGCTTTGTGGACTTGGAGAAGGCATTCGTCTGTGTCCCTCGGGGAGCCCTGTGGGGGGTACTCCAGGAATATGGGGTACCAGGCCCTTTGATATGGGCTGTTAGGTCCCTGTACGACCGGTGTCAGAGCTTGGTCCGCATTACCGGTAGTAAGTCGGGCTCATTCCCAGTGAGAGTTGGACTCCACCTAGGTTTCCCTTTGTCACTGATTCTGTTCATAACTTTTATGTACAGAATTTCTAGGTGTAGCCAATGAGTTGAGGGGATCCATTTTGGTGGCCTTAGGATCGCTTCTCTGTTTTTTGCAGATGATGTGGTCCTATTGTCTTCATCAGGTCATGATCTACAGCTTTTGCTGTAGAGGTTTGCAGCCAAGTGTGACGCGGCCTGGATGAGGATCAATTCCTCCAAATCCGAGGCCATGGTCTTGAGCCAGAAAAGGGTATAGTGCCCTCTCTGGATCAGAGAGGAGGTCCTGCCCCAAGTGGAGGAGTTTAAGTATCTTGGGGTGTTGTTCATGAATGAGGGAAAAATGGAGCGCGAGATCGATAGGCGGATAGGCGCAGCATCGGCAGTGAAGCGGGCGCTGTATCTGTCTGTCGTGGTGAAGAGAGAGCTGAGTCAACAGGTGAAGCTCTCAATTTACCGGTCGATCTACGTTCCTACCCTCATCTATGGTCATGAACTTTGGGTTGTGACCAAAAGAACGAGATCACGGATACAGGCGGCCGAAATGTGTTTTCTCCGCAGTGTGTCTGGCCTCTCCCTTAGAGATAGGGTGAGAAGCTCAGTCATCTGGGAGGGACTCAGAGTAGAGCCGCTGCTTCTCCACATTGAGAGGAGCCAGTTGAGGTGGCTCGGGCATCTGGTTAGGATGCCTCCTGGATGCTTCCCTGGTGAGGTGTTCCGGGCATGTCCCACCGGGAGAAGACCCAGAGGAAGACCCAGGTCATGCTGGAGGGACTATGTTTCTCGGCTGGCCTAGGAACGCCTTGGGATCCCCCCGGAGTAGCTGGTCCAAGTGGCTTGGGAGAGGGAAGTCTGGGCCTCCCTACTTAGGCTGCTACTCCCGCTACCCAACCCCGGATAAGCGGAAGAGAATGGATGTATGGATAGAAATGCAACATGTCTTTGAGATTATAATTCATATTTAAAGACAAATTACTGATGCATTAATGAGCACATGGTCATTGTGGCCCCCAGGAACACAGTGCAGCTGTTGTTGGCACCCTATATTTTTCTACAATAAATTTGGCAACCCTACAATGCATTCCTACTGCATTTCTGCAGAGAAAATCATTTCTCATGTCATCTTTAATGTTCCTTTTAATTTGATTTTAAAGTTCTGTACTTACATCATAAAAAGTCAAAGACTGTGAGGCCACTAGAAAGTGCCACACACATTATAAGTACCTAAAACAAAACAAAAAAAACAAACAAAAAAAATCAAATCATACTACAATAATTAAAGTAAGGGCTTTCTCTATTGTCCAAAGGCAAATTTTACTGAGCCATGACATCATCTTATGAAAACATTTGGTTGTATACATGTCTGTGAAAAGCCTCTGTCTGCACTTTGTCAAACATTAGCTCTAACTCAACTGAGAAAATGCCATAATAAGGAAAACAACTGTACACATGTTAACTTCTGTGTTATTACTATAAAAGGTGAGGAATGAAGATGAAGCCTGCACATGTACAATACACCCAGTGTACAACATTTCTGCCCCTGTGCACTTTTACAACTCGCATACCACTAGTAAATTTGCAAAAGAAGTATTGTTTGATAAAAATCTACTTTGTTTTTAAACTTTAAAGAATTGAGCTGAGCAATACCAAAATGATACGCTTAGTTTTTTCATTTTTCTGTTTTTTTACTTGTCAGTTTTCATTTAGTTAATACCCTGTCTGTCATATCTGCACAAAATGGACAAGCATTACACTTCACACGCTCTGTAGAGATGACAGCATTGTTTCTTCCAGTGTATGTCAGCTCCATGGAAACCCACCATGGGGTACATGTGATTGCAGCGCTTGCAGAGAGCAAGCCTTTGTCTGCTGACACACAGACTGAGGCTGAGGACTATAGAGAACTCGATACATGCATGACATCTGTTATTTTCATGCATACGTGAAGCCACCTGCCAGCTCATTCACCAGCTTTAAGGAAAAACTATCCAGAGAAGGGTGATGTCATATCAAGAAAAACTATCACCCAGAAGATAAACAGACATAAATGCAGTCAGTGTGCGGACTGATCTGTTGCTGTTTTTACTTCTTGTCATTAGATGGAACTGTTGTGACATTGTAGGGCAGAAAAGACGGCATTACAAGAACTGAAGAACAAGAATGATGCTAACTGGAGTTATGCAATGGTGTCTGGCAACATAGAACACTTGCTGTGATGACGTTTGTAAGAATAATGGTTGTTCCTTATTTTCATCACAACCATCATAACAAAATCTATGATAAGAATGAGTACTTCAGTACTGAGCTCACTGCTATTTCTGCTTCATGCTGGTGAGCCTCTGATCCCATTTACACAGTGACCTGTAGTCAGGGGAGGCAGTTATCATGACAAGTAAATTACTAACAATGATAAGAGAAATATATTTGACCACTGACTGTTCTATGAAACTAACTCCGCCAAGGACGGTCCCAAGCCCGGCTGAAAAAGGAGGAGGGTTGGGCGTGGAGCTAGCAACTCCACCCTGGAAAACAAACCAGTGCTACAGAAACTGCAGCGACAACTTCAACTCAACAACTGCCTGGACGGGAACACTCCTCTTCAGGGGGGGCCATGACGCGCGCCGATGAAAGCCTTCGGGAAGCCAGCTCGCCGACAAGTCTTCTTACGACAAAGGCCAAGACCAGGATAGGGACCTGGAACATCAGAACCCTATACGAAAGTGGAAAGTCAGCGCAGGTGGCCAGCGAAATGAGAAAATACAACATCAAAGTTCTCGGACTATGTGAGACCCGATGGAATGGAAGCGGCCAGACCAGACTGTCTTCTGGAGGAACTATCATCTACTCCGGACATGAAGACGCGGACCACGACCACACCCAAGGAGTCGCGCTACTGTTGGCGCCGGAGGCTACAAGGGCTTTGATGGCGTGGGAACCTGTCTCACCAAGACTGATGTCAGCAAGATTCAACGCCAAGGGCAGAAAAACAACCATCATCCAGTGCTACGCACCTACAAACGCAGCGGAAGAAGAAGATAAAGCAGACTTTTACAGTGCTTTGCAGTCTCTTCTAGACGAGACACTAAGAAGAGACATGAAAATCGTAATGGGCGACTTGAACGCCAAAGTGGGAAGTGACAACACAAACAGAGAACTCATCATGGGCAGGCATGGCGTAGGAACCTGCAACGAGAACGGAGAGCTGTTTACAGATTTCTGTTCATTCAACGACCTCGTCATAGGGGGCACCATCTACCCACACAAGAAGATCCACAAGACAACGTGGACTTCACCAGATGGAAAGACTGATAACCAGATAGACCACTTCACCATAGACCGCAAGTGGAGACGGAGTGTGATGGATGTCAGAGCAAGGCGCGGCGCCGACGCAGCCTCAGACCATCAGTTGCTTGTGGCAACAGTGAAGACCAAGCTGCGATCCTTCTGTGACTCATCTGGCAGACCACATCACAAGTTCAATATACAGTTTTTGAAAGACAGTAAGAAGAAAGAAGAGTTCAACTGTGATGTCAAGAACAAGTTCGAAGCGCTAGCAGATCTGGTTGAAGAGACAGTAGAGAACCACTGGGCTGAACTACAGAAGACCTGGAAGACCGCTTGCACCAATGTTCTGGGGAAGAAGGAGAGAGAGCAGAAAGAATGGCTGTCACAAGAAACGTGGAAGAAGATTGAAAAGAGGAGAGAACTAAAGCAGCAGATAAACAGATGTCAGGACCAACAAGAGAAGTCAGAACTTAGAGCAGCGTACTGGGAATCGAACCGAGAAGTGAAGAGGAG